GGAATTTCTTTGAATTTCAGGGAATTTATACTTAAAATAGTAGGGAATTTTCTGGTCAAAAAGTTGTGGGAACCTGATATAAGACAGAAACTTTCCACATACATCTAGCATTATACAATACTGCGTTTGTAAATTTAGTTTTCTGCAATACTGTAGGAAATTTTGACATTTATGTAGCACCATGCCCTAAGTTTTGTCATAGTTTTACGTAAAAATTTGTATAAAAAATTGAATACAAGCTATCGCAATGAATAAATGTAGAAATATATGGTTTGGTTTGAGAAACCTAAATGTGTCATCAGATTTTTAAAATTTGTTTAGGGAACAAAGTTAGAGGTTTGAAAAGGTGTTATTTTCACACCTTTTCGTGGTTTTCATGGAAACCAGTACTGCTATTGGCAGCTATATATTAGTTTTGAATCTATTAAACACACTGAAACATATTAAATTACAAAAAATTCTATCTGTGGTGTCTATCCTTAAAACATTCAAATAACTACTAGAAAATACCTTATTTAATTGCAATTGTGTGTCATTATCACTTTCTTAACCCCCTCTTAACCATGTAATGGAAGCCTGACCACCCTGTACCCCACTTTAGAAGTGTGATGTTGCCTATAGACGTAAACTACATACCACTGTCCTACGACGCATAAATCTAAGGTAAAGTTCTGATCTTGAGCTGAGCAGGACCATTTCAGATAAAAGAATATCTAATTCTTTAGGATCCAACCTAAAAGTAAAGTTAAATAATGAACAATGGTTAAATGGTTTTTAAAAATGGTAGCTGTACTGGAAATGTATGTCTTGAATATATGTTCTTTAAGCTGTAGTCCGGAAATAAATTTTTATAAAGCATTTTTTTAAATTTGTTTTAAAACCTTTTTCCCTAAATTATAGAGGTCTCTAGATAATAAAAATCAAATTTTATAAACTATTACTTTTTTTCCTTGGTTGATTATTTGTGCAGCTAAAAAGTTGCTAATATCTATTTAATTTATACTAAAATGTTAACTAATTTTGATCAATATTAGTTACATTGATTATTGCACTTTCTAAAACATACTTTTAAGTCAGACAAATACTAATAAATGATGTTTAAAAAAAAAATTTTAAAGAGCAAAAGTGTGGTGTCACAACTTTTTATCCCCACATATCACAAATACACCACTATCCCCCACATGTATACATTATTTGTGATGGTAAATTTGTCAACTTACTTTTCTGTAAATGTTTTCACAGCACATAAGCATTGTTGAACTTTTCTTATCTTAGAAGGTGAAACAAATTCTAAGGTATTATTTAAATATATTAAGTAAATTAATTTTTAAAACTAAGAACAAAAAACTAGAGATAAATGAAAAAAATAAATGCAAACAAAGTGACAAAAATGTATGTTGGAATATTAATTTGTACTAAGAGATTGTGCTAAGAAAAAAAACTATTGTTTTTTTCTAAATAGATCTCATAAAATGATTACAAACTATTTATAGAAAGCTAGTTATAGTTTGTACCTTTGCTTGATAATCTCTTTGTGTTTTAAAATGTTCAAAAATCTTTCTCGACTGTCTATCACATTCTTTTTGTAAGGTTGTCAGTAACAGGAAAAGTTTACCAGGTCCTTTTGAATCCATATAAAAATATGTTTACTTGATTTATCTACCTACTTACTAAATGTAATAATTAAAAACTTCAATGCCAAATTACCACATTTTAAATATTGGACACCGACTTAAAATGTGCCTTCCTAAAATGATAAATGGGGGATCAGGACTAAAGGCAGACACAGACAAAAGGCTGACTTCCAAACGGCCGACATCCAAACGGCCGACATCCAAAAGGCCGACAAGACAGAAGGCCGACATCCAAAAGGCCGACAAGTTTTATAAAACAACAAACTACAATAACAGACATGTATAATTTTTATTGAAAACCAGTTACATAATGATAAAGGTATATTACAAAATAGAAAAAAATAGGGCCTAGTATGACAAATTGTATGCAACGCCATGCGAAAATTCAAGTGTAGTTCTGTTTCCCCATTCTGCAATTACATTTGTTATCCTGTCCTCTTTCTGTAAATATTGTTTTTTTCACTTTTTTGCTGGCTCTCCAAGCAATATTACCTTCATCTCTACTTCAACTCTACCTTGTTCCTGCTTTAGTTTGTTTAGTAAACAAAAGACTCCAGGATGATCTTTCCCTACAATTACCTCCTGTGCCACCCCTCAACCGTGTTTTGTGTCCTAGGAATCCCATGTACATGACTGTCATGTACAGACCAGAACTCTGGTGGAAAAAGTCGTGGAACCATCACCTCTCTTGTGTTTAACAACCTCACTCGACCACAAACGTAGGTCTCATCAAACCACTTCACCAACTCAGCTGTGTTTGGTGGGAAAATGTTTTTTAATTCATTAAATGCTGCCGGAATCTCTGCACTTGGAAGAAATGCCAATGCTGCTATTTGCCGCATCAGCAGGCAGAACTGTGGATCCTGAACATAAAGAAGTGCCAAGCCCAACGCTTGTAGCTTTCGCCCTGTATTTTGGCTAAGATGAAAAAAACACCCTTTACTTGTAGCTGTTGGGAATTTAATGCAAGCATTGATTGCAGCTTTCTCAAAGTCAGTGACAATAAACCGTGGAGATAAGTGTATGTGCATTTTTTATGCGATATCTGCGAGGTCCTGAAATGCTCATGTATACATAGCTTCGGTTTTTCGAGACATCAAAATGTAGACAAGCAGTAAAACTCTGCAGTTTTCGTAACCTACATGGACCCCATTGTTCACCTGATAAGGATCCCATCTAGCATTGTCTCTTGGCGTTCCACCTTGTTGCATGTGGGCGATGATGCGACGGCTTTTGACTTGGTTCTTTGATGATTGTCTCACCTCGTTGACATAGAAGGAGCAATAAAAGACAGTAGTGACAGCATTTCGCAATATTTAGTTGTTGATTCTTTGTGTTTAAGACACTCCCATAATCTTCAGTCACTTGGAGCCGATGGTTCACCTAATAAGGATAGCAACTAGCATTGTCTCCTGTCTTGAACGTTTCACCTTATTTCATGCCTTATTTCGATAGTTGTTAAGATAGCAGCTATGCAGTAACATATATTTTGCAATATTAGTATTTTTTATGCTTGTCGGCCTTACGGCTGTTGGCCTTATGTCCTGTCGGCCTTTTGGCTGTCTGCCTTATGTCCTGTCGGCCTTTTGTCCATGTCGGCCTTTTGTCTTGTCGGCCTTTTGGATGTCGGCCTTTTGTCCTACACCCGATAAATGGTATTGTCAAACAGTCTAAAATAAAGATAATGAAAAACAGGCAGAACCTACATAAGAACACAGAATAAGACTTGTGATGGAATATAACTTTACCACCAATTCAACACAAAAAAATCATCTGTAGGCTATACAAGCTGTATATATACATATTATGTACATGTGTATGTGTATATACATACAACTATTACATTCTAAAAAAACTAGGTATTGCTAATTACATTTTTCTTAAGTATGTGAATCTACTAACCATAATATGTTTCTACTAAAGGCTGATGTATTTCTACTGCTCTTGCTATGCTTTCAAACAACATTGTTAAAGTGTCAGCAAAAATAACATGCGCTCTTTTATCAGTAGAATCTGGGTGTAATGCAATTTTAAGATTACCATCTGCTTTATCTGAAACCTGGGGGAAAATGTTGACAAGGATTCCTTAATGATTTTTTGAAAAGAAATAAACATTTATTTATTTCAGGTAAAGAATAAATTATATATCTTGTTAATTCAAAATATGAAACATTTTTAATACTAATATGCCAAAAGAAAAATAATAAAATGATATACAGGGTAATTAAATTTGTAATGATTTGAATAAAGACTACACTTAAAATCTAACTATTTTATACAAAATGTTTACTAATTTTAAACTTTGTCTAATAAAGATTTAAAAACAAAATAAATATAATTACTGTTCTTTTTTAAATTAAACTGATGATAAAAATGTCAATTACTGTGTTTGTACAGTTAAATTTAGATATAGAGTCTAGTTATTTTCTAGAACTTAATTGTTTACACCTCTACAACCAAAAGTAATTTCATTTTTTAACATAATATATTTCTTTAAAAACAATTAATAATTAAAATACCTGTGCTGCTAAATACTTCCCAAACTTTGAAAGACCTTCTGATAACATTCCTAAAAGAGGATATATCTTAAAGAATCTTTCAACAGATGCAACATCTCCCTGGTGGACTGCAGTATCAAATTTATTTTGGACAATAGATTTTAACCTTTCCTCTGCTTCATAAATCATTTTAAATGATGAATCAAGAGTTCCACCTGATAAAATAATTTTAAGAAATAGAATTTTAAAGAAATAGAATTGCTAACTATAATAGAATTAAAAAATAGTTATTTGACAGTTTGTTCAGATTGAATCTTGAGATCCTAATCAAATCAAAACTTAATATTATTTACTTGTTTGGACCAATTGGTTGAAGATTAAAGAAGCAAATATGTCACATATTATTTTTATTATCCAGTCTTGTAACAAACATTAGGATAAAAACAACCAAGTTGTTAAAAATGTAATATTAACATTTTAAAAATCTAAACTACACTTTACAGCAAAAAATTTTAAACACACAAAAGTAGCTTTATCGAAAAATATCTGTTTCATTTCATTTTTAATAAAGTTCACACAAATCTGAAAATTTCATATTAAAATTCTTGGCACTTTTGTCAATATATTTTTTTGGTAGTAAATACAATGCTGCTGTATCAGTTGTGTTATGGCCAAAATATATTTTCCCAAAATATAAACCTAAACCAAATGTTGTGTGGCATTGTGGCTTACTTATTTCATATTGTTAACTAGATTAGCTTTCTTTTATTTTTATCCCACAATGCCAGAACAAAGTGATTCTAAGCTTTTTAAACTTTAAGTCTAAATTTGCTTAATTAAAAATATCTTTCTATATGGTGTAAAGAAATACAATCTGTTTTATTCTAAATATATATTTTAAAAGAAGAAATTTACAAATATATCAATTTGGAAAAAGATCATTCAACACACATAAGATCTTTTAATAAGAATATCAAGAAAACCATCAGAAAGAACAATGCAAGGTAATCAATGTTTGCTCAGCTTGTTACCTTTGCGAATTATTGCTTATTACTATATTTTTACATTTTATTTTTATTATTATTCTGTCATTAGAAAATAAAACATGTAAAACACTTAAGTGTTATTTCAATCTGAGTGTGTAAATGTAATATTGTCTATGCTATCAACAGAAAAAAACGTTTGCTTTATTGTAAAATGCACTTTAAAGATAATAGTTTTTTAAACAACTTACAAACAAAACAGTATGTGACGTTTTTATAAAAGCTGTTTGATGAAAAAACAAGTTAATTAAAAAGTCTAGTGACATTTAAGCGCAATTTCCTTATGTTATCTAAAAATAGCTCTGTCGTAGCGTAAATCAAGAGCAGGGTTAGTAAAACCATTGGTTAGTTATTAAAACGTTTTTTATTAATTTTTTTTCAGTATTCTACATGTTTTATTTACAATAGAGTTACATGACTAAAAACCATTGCGCGCCTATCTACCGAACGTGATGTCGCAGCCATTGAACGTGATGGCGCAGCTATTGAAAGTGATGGCGCGTGTGGTGTGGTTGGATAAAAATGCCTACTGATTCGGTCAAAATTTTAATTAATTCAAAAAAAAATTTGTGACCGAACGAAAGGATATTTTTGAAAACTTTCTTCGGCAATATTGTTCTAAATTATGGCAGGAATCGATTGGTACATGTTTCAAGTCGCTAAGTGGTCTGGTTGCCGAGATATGGGCCAAAAACTGCATTTTTTTGAGGTTTTTTGGCTTTTCTTGGAAATCCATGAAAGAAACCCGGAATATTTTTGGCCTATGTTCATCCTTGTAACTTGCTTAACATAATTGCTTTTGGAACTAGTCCTCGATATTGCTTCGTTGAGGAGGAGATACGACTTAAAGCTGCGGACACAGATACATCCATACATTCATTCATCCATCCATTCCCAGAAATGACGAGTTAATAACGCAATTCTCCAGAATGGAAATTGCGCTAAAAATAGTTTCTAGATTACACACAAATATATATAAAGGATCATCCAAAAACAGCAACACACACTAGGGGGAGAGAGGTGATACTGAATTTTAGCTGCTATTTTTGTTGTAAATTTTAATACAAAAAATGAATGGTTTTAACAGACAAAAACATGTAGGCTGAGGTTAAGATGGGGCGTTACAGTCGTTCACTAATTTGAATCAGATATGCCATTAGCAGCCCTAGGCTATCCTTTGAGTGCTATGGCGCCTGTTTGTTTTAAACAGTGCCATAGACTATGGATACAATAGGACATTATAGTCGTTCGCTAAACTGAATCAGGCCAGAGGCGTAGCGACACTTCCCGGCACCCCCCCTCAAACTTTCAATTTGCACCTCCCTCAACCTTTCAATTTATTTTTCCAACCCATTTTGGCGCCCCCTAAGGTCGGCGCCCGGGGACATATCCCCCTCCACCCCCCTCACTACGCTACTGAATCAGGCGCATCCACCTAGGTTGCAATTTGCCCCGAGCTATCCTCGGACACGCTAGTCTATCTATACATCTATATGTATATATGTGTATATGTGAACTTTATTATAGGGGCCTATATAAAAAGCAATGTAGGCGTGTGTGTGTGTGTGTGTGTGTTTGCCTGTCTTCTATGTATTACAAAAACTTTCATCCGATTGCCTTGAAACCTTGGGAAGTTGCTGAGAATACTCCGGAGGTTTCTGCGGGAAAATAAATCTCAAATTCGCAGGGGTAGCGTCCCTGCAGGGCGCAATTTGTTTTTTCTCTATACAAGGTATAAAAAAAAAAAATTTGGTTTGACACCGTTCATCCAAATCGCCATGCAACTTTGGGGAGTTGATTAGAACACACCAGGGGAGGTTTCTGCAAAAAATCTTTTTTCATTTCGCAAGGGCGGCGAGTCAATTTTTCTCAATTAACGGTATACAAAAAAATTAAAGGTGTTCTTCCAAGTGCAATGAAACTTTGTGGAGTTGATGAGAATACCCCAGAGAAGATTTCTGTGGGAAAAAATTAAAATTTCTTATGGGCATTGCCCAGGAGGATGCGATTTTGTCAAAACATGGTTTGGCGCCCCGAGTGCTATCTTAGCACTTGGTATCCGTTAATCGGGAGTCCTGCATAGCGGGTAATGGGTACTACGATAGTCAGCATTAAAACTTCAACAGGCGAAGCTGCCGGCGCCCCGGCTATTGTGGCCCCAAAGCGCCCCTCTGACCACTATGGTGCTTATATTACTATTAAGGAGCACCCTACAATATTGAAAAGGCGGCACACGACATTTGATGATTAAATCCGAGCCAGGCCCATTCCGGTGCCCCAGCGGTAGTGTATTCAAGGGGCTAACTTGTGCGCCCCTCTACGTCCCCGACATTTTAGCGGTGAGTAATTAAAAGTGATATTATGGTGAGTGATTAAAGTAAACTCATGGCATGCTTGGCGATAGTGTAGGTAAACCTATACCCCAATAAATATGATCCAAGAGCAGGCATTGTTTTTGAAAACATGATCACGCATCTAATATAGGATTGGTAACGCATTGATGAAACCCTAATATATTTTTGTCAGATTTTGTCTTTTATGCATTACTACACCTTTCGTCTGACCGCCATGAAACTTTGGGAAGTTGTTAAGAATACTCCTGGAGAGTTTTCTTTGGAAAATTTTTTTTTTCAATTTCACAGGGCAGCGCAATTGGACGCCCCGGCTTATACCGTGAGCGCTATGGCTCCTACATTCGTTTTGAACAGTGCAAAAGACTATGTATAAGATGGGGCTTATAGTCATTAACTAAATTGAATCAGGCGCCATTCACCGGTGCCTGACAGGGTGCAATTTAGCACCACTAGTTATTTCGAGAGTGCTATGGCACCTACATTCATTTTAAGCAGTGTGATAAATTATGGATACAATAGGGCATCATAGACATTCACTAAATTGAATCAGGCGCTTCCGCTAGTATACGCTAGTATGTGTAGTTTTAAATTGTGTACTAATGTATAAAAAATTAATCCGTTTAAAATGAATGTGCAGGCCTATAATGAATAATAACTAGTATATAATTTATATTCCATTCCCATCTATCTATATACTACTAAAACTCAAGTTTGTTTACATGTTTGAATATAATTTTTTGTTTGTTTGTTTGTCCGCTTGGCTACAGGAGAGAATCTGCACTATGTGTAGAGCTGTAAAATAGTAATTAGGTAGAGAACAATTTTTGTTTTCAGACAGACTGTTAATAGCAAATTCATTTAAAGACGTTAATCAATTTATTGATTCATTCATTGGTAGATTACCACATTAATTATAAAAGTTTAAAACAATGACTTTACTTAGAGTGAACAGTGATATCACATGATTTATTTACTTTTTAAAACAACAATGGCTGTTCCATCAAAGATTGTGTTGCCCATTCAGATCTTTAATGCGTTATAAAGCTAATTTTCTGTCGGCTATAGCTTTAACAATACGTCCGTTTGCTATTTTTATTACGCTTCAACACTATTATCAATGTTTTAACAGTTCTTTTTATTTTATTATACAATATATAACATTTCTGTAGATCTAAAGATCAGCTGTCGAAGGAAGAAAAAGTTTTGAATCTAGATCTAGGTCACTAGACTTAACGTAAATTCTAGATCTAGATCAGGCCTTAATTATTTTATATAAATCTTTGTTAAGCTTCAATGATCATCTAATTCGAGAATGCATGGGATTTACCTATCTAGGTTCTAGGGCTAGAGTTACGGCAAAAACTAGAATCTAGACTCGACGTAAATTCTACATCTAGATCTAGACTTAACCCTTGACGTAAATTCTACATATAGAACCTAGAAATAGAATCTATATACTTAACTATTTCAGGCCTTAATTATTTTATATAAATCTATGGAATTGGCTAATTTGGGATATAGGCCCTAATTAAATTTAACATAATAGTACCTATTCGCATAACTGGTTTCTTACTTTGCAGCATGGCTACCATGCGGATGGTAACGGTTCGAGACACATCACGAGAAAGTAAATGTTTTATTTTTTTCAATTTTTATTTTTTTAACGTGAATGATGAAGTTGCCTATCAGGACCTCAGCATATGAAGGGATATGGTGATCAGAGACATGCTCGGCCGGAATTGTTTTTTCAAACGATAAAAACATGTTGTCTGAGACTTGGCGGGACACTAGGCAGGTGAAGCAGAGTTGAGTAGGTCACCTGTGACATCAGTATATGAAGAGACAGTGTGGTCAGACCCATGCTCAACCGTAATGGGTGTTTTTAAAAGATAAAAAAAAACGTCTTTTAGAATGTGGAGTCTGGTTATTTTGTAACAATAAGTGTCAGACGTGATGTTTTTTAAGGATCACCCCGAAACCCAGTTATCCAAGGGATGATGGGTAGTCTAGTTTATAATATAAATGGGAATGGGACAGTGTGGCCTAGCAGTAGAGAGCTAGACTGCTAACCCGCGAGTCTTGAGTTCGAATCATGGGACCACCCAGCTCTGATGGGTACCTAACTTACATTAGGGAAACAAAGGCGGCTGGGCATATTGCTGATCACACTATTACTTCATATGCCAAGATCTCTGAAGCAGATGAATTCTACTTCATCTGACCCATGTGTCTTGGACAAGAATGGGAAATTACGACTATGAAAACAAATGTGGAAAGCAAAAGAATGGTATTAAAATTTAGAGAAACATTCAATGTAAAAATACATATTTTATTATACTAGGTTCCAACAAGATTTTCAATAAGAAACACTGGACAAATCTTCTAATGTGAGTATATAATGAACATGAACTTAATTACTGATAAACTAGAATCTAGTGATGTCATGAGATAAACTAAGAGCAGAACAGCAAAATATGAAAAAATAAGTTTATAAATCAAATAGTTTTTACCTTCAGTAGTTTCTGTGCTCATCCTAATAACAGTTTCATCTAAACTTCTAAATCTATGAATGTGACCAGCAGCCTTTATTTAAAAAATAATATTAAAAAATTCATAATCAGATTGTTTAGGGTGGTTTGATGTGTGTGTTTTATCATGATATTTCAGTGCAACTTAATGTTGGTGCAAGAGATACTTAGCAACTGGTTGCTATGGTATGAAAGACTATATATATATAATATATATATATATATATATATATATATATATATATATATATATATATATATATATATATATATATATATATATATATTAAAATACATATTAACAAAACTTTATTTAGTTATCCACCCCTTTACTTTCTTAAAACAATGTGATTAATGGATTTCTTTTGTTATACAATCAAAGCAAGTTGGTAAAATCTGTTTTCTCATTTTTAAGCTTTCAGAAAGCACCATTTTTACTAGCTCTAAAACTTAAAACTGAACCCTTTCAATAGCCAATAAAATTCTCTATGTAAAAAATTGATTGGAATCTTCAATGCTTTTAACAAAAAGTTGTCTAGGCAACCTGTCATTCCATGAATTTCATCTCATTTTGTTTAACTGTCTTAATGTAGGTAACAAATCAGTTTATTGGAAATTATGCTAATAGTGACAATAGATGACAATTTAAAACAAATCCAAAGGTTATTTATTTATTATCCTGCCAAACATATAACTAGACCAACCTTAGTGTTGGCTGGTTAATTTATTGTTTTTGTCTTTAAGTAAAATAGTTACTTGATTAATGGGGCTCACCCAGGATGAGGCCAACTAGAATAATTGGATAGTGGAGGGTATTTTTATGTATTGAATATTATGTCAGACTATTTTGGATGAAATTTTGGTTGTCACTTTTTGCTTATTTTGGAAGTTATATTTTTGTTGTGTTTCATCCTAACTAAAACTAAATAACAAGATGGCGCTCGGGTCTCATGGTGCAGTGGTCTGGCTGTGGTGTCACCAGGTAATTTATGGGCTTTAGGCCACGTTGATTAACGTCCCCAGGTCTTTAATTGTGCACCTCACACGGTGTGAATTCAATCAGCGGTGTGGAAGGTCAGATCCTAGCTTTCTCACGGCCATACTTCACACCTCAGGTTTGACCACGATGGTCAGTTTGCTGCATTTCATTTTAATGGCCTACGGGTTAATTCGAGTCAAGCAGGTGGTATGAAGTGATGGGAAAGAGGTGAGCAAAACTAGCCTATATAAGAGAAAGGGTGGCTATGGGTAAGACACACACATAGCTGGGGCTCGGCATTATCGTCTAGGCCTTGGATGGTGACAGCCCTAGGGCTGGCCGCGAAGGCTGGCTTATAGGGCTTGTATTATATAATATATATAAAGACAAACGTACCTGTCTTGCACGTTGAATTTTGTGGCTGTTATACATTGTATTGAATTATATATAAGTGATTTAGGGAATAGAGTAGATAGACTAGTTAGATATAATTTATTAGCTTCAGTAAGAAAGGGAGATATGTGGTAATGAACCTTTAGGTAATAATTAGAAATAGGTCTAGGATATGAGCCAATGGTCAGTAGGTATAAACCAATCAACAGACATATAAACAAATCAAGCAAGATGACAAGTCACACAGGGTTGAAAAGAAGATAATGTTAGGAGTTAGGTGAAGAGTGGAGAGCCAGCCAAGGAGTAGATTGTTTTTCAGGAGGAGTAGTAGAAGGAGGTTATAGTTAAGTAGTTAGAAAGAAGTTGAAATTTAGAATTGAGTTAAAGTTGAACAGGGTTTAGAAAGTCGTGTCGTAAATTAATTAATATTAGCAGAGCTAGCAGGGACAGAATGTTTTCATGTATAGATAAAAAAAATGTTGATATTTCTTATATTATATTTAGCACTGTAGAAAGCAACAGGCTCATAAGTGAAGGACAAGTGATCCCTGTACAAGTACATCTGTTGAAGCTCTCACACACTAATCACTTCTTCTTCGTTCTTAATTTTTAGTGTTGGAAGTGATTGAACTCGAGACTTTTCGGTTTAGCAACAATGGGCTTTTACCGACTCAACCACGCCGACCCCTTTCCAACACAATTAAGAATACCTGTCAACTGGTTACCATTGAGGCCATTGACTCCGATTTCAGCCTGCTTTTCTTTTTGGATTTGCTTCCATAGCCTTTGTCCAACCAAGAACAAACTACAAGGCAGCAGTTGTTTGATTTTGGAGTTGTCTCTCCTAGAAGAGTGGCTGTCCCCAGCTAACAAACCTCATCTGCCCGAGGGTTCGAACTTTGTAATGAAATGTGAAATTATACAATTAAACTTTAACTGATAACTCAAGAAATCTGAAAATTATACTTTCTTACTTTTTCATAATCTTCATTCTGTAAAGCTGTTTGGACTCCATCAGTACAAAATTTGAGATCTAATATATCCTCTACACGTTGCATACAATCCACAACACGACTCTTTAAAAAATTTGCAATATATCAATCAATCTAAATATTTAAATTGTCAGAGAATATAAAAATTGTATATAGAAATCTATTATATCAAAGCTTAACAGGACTCATGTGTAATGTAATATAATATAGCCACACTTTGTTACATATGAAGCAGTAAGAATAAAAAATATACACACAATCACCAAAATTATGTAATGTTGCAATTTTTAAAAAAATGCTTATCAAATCTTTAACTCAAAAAAATTAGTGGTGTGTACGTGGGACTGTTTCTAAAAAAGGGAATTGGACTCTTATCCTGCATATGAAAAGTAAAATTAAGAACAGAAGGGCTAATGTTTATAAAAATAAACCCAAATCTGTAAATAAATTGAGTATTCATAGCTAAACTTGGGTCACCGATACCACAAATGATGACATTTTTTACAATTTTTACCTCCTCCGCCCTACCCAAAACATCATTACCAAAAAGCCAGAACCTCGAACCTAAATGGCATCACTCACACCTTTGTCTACATCACTCTGAAATCAGCATTTTTTTAAAAGCGATTTCTTTTTTTCTAAAATATTTACTGAGCTTGGTCTACATTGAGTATATATATAGATCAATATATTGCAATTTACAAAAAAAAGTCTTAATTTTAACAACATGAATTAATGGCTAAAATATCATCTTCTAACATTATTGCAAAATGTTTTAGTAACAATTTCAGAAGACATCCTTTCCGCCTTGAATTACACTGTTAAAAAAAATTCAAGCCTCCCCTCTGAAGTATGATGTCATAACTCATGGTGACCTCTAATACAAATTAACAGAATTAGAGGTCCATGGACCTGAGAAGGCTTAGGACTTATTAACCTTATGAGATGGTTAATAGCTGTAAAATTTGTTTTTGTAAAAATACCTCCTGCAGGTATAGAAAATAATACTTTCAACAAATAAAACATGAGTGATTTCTCCTAAACTTTCTTGTATATTGTTACACAACAGTAAGGGGGATGGCACTTTCAGTGCAATGGAGGCCACCGAGTTGACGAGAATCCTTCCATCATATTGTTGACATGGATAAAATTGTTTTTTTAATTTATTTTGACTTCATAGCCGCAGTGAAAATAATAAAAAATAAAAACTTCAGTCTAAAAATAATTCATAAATGTAATATTTTTAGAATCTATTTATAAAATTAGCAAATACAGAGAACTTGAAAATAATTGTTTGAGTTTAAGGCTACATTTCTATTTATTTTCATCAAGCCTAAGTTATAACCTGATGTTTTGCTTCATAAGACAAACATTGAATGGCTGTACAGTAACTCTGTGATCCATAGTTATTTGTTTACAAAACTTTGCAGATAAAGTTTTTAAAATAACATAATGCTGTCTTAAACCACATGACCTGATCTGCCTTTTTTTGGTTACATTTTGTTACTTGTATGATCAAATTTATGCTAGCCTTTCAATTAACATGATGTCATTGTTTATGTCGCCATTACATCTTGAAAACAAAATTGCTTTTGCCTTTTTTTTTAAATTGTGTGTAATTACCGAAAATACGAAAACGTAAAATACAACAACTATTTTTTTTAAAGTCCAAAAAAAAAAAAATAGTCAGGATTTTATAACCAAATTAATTTTAATTACACCATACATGATTTTAAAAATATTTAATGGGCTTCTCAAATAAATTGGAGACTATTCTCTTTTGGGTCCATTGGGCTAGAGAAATGTGTTGTTTTAATTTCTTTTAATAATTTAATTTTTTTTTTAAATAGAACAAAATCGAGTAGGAAAAAGGATTGAACACCAAATCAACAAAAATGTTTGCATAATTGAACGGGACATTAGTACTCTATTAAAGAGTCTGATTAATTTTTAAAAGTTAGTTAAACATTAAATTAAGTCACATTTTATGTCAATGAGTCTTGACCTACTTAAAGAGTTTGAAACTAATGGTCAGGTAGAAGTAATTTTTTTTTTTGAGAAATTGGAAACACTATAAAGTACTACTTCAGGTCACAGAATTCACTCAAAATTTGAAAGAATCAAGAGAATAAGATCTTATATGCATAACATTTTGTACACCTAACTAATATGGTACTTATGTTATCTGTATTTTAGAGTGTAATCCTCAGCAATGATTTTGAAACTACACTAAAATTTCCAAATTAAATGGAAAGCAGTTGAAAATGGTGGTAGCTCACTTCCTGTGTAAAAACTGAAGGTGAAATTAAAAAATACCAGTAGACAAATCTTATCTAGACTACCAAATAAAACATTTTCTTTTATAGAATCACAAAACTTAAGAAAAAAGTTCCAATCACTTTTGGGTGAAAATAAGTAACTGAAAAATATCAGAGGAAAAATTCTGACAGAAAATTGGAATTCTGAAAAATCAAAATCCTCTGAAATTCTGAAGTCACATCCCTATTTATTTTTACCTTTTCGCCTACACCTTTACTATAAGACCAGTTTTCCACTCGTCTGGAATTTTTCCATTATTCCAGACTTCTTGCTAAATTTAAAAATAATTTTTGATGTGTTTATGGTTTCTGCTTCAAGTATTATTGCAATTTTACTATCTGCACCAGTGCATTTCCTGAGTTCAGTTTTCATATAGCTATTAGCACTTCTGATATTTGTATGGGTCCAATATTACTGTCTGGTTCTTTTTGGCTTGGTGGTTAGTCAATGTGTTTAGAAGGTGGCTGTCTGCTTAGCAGGCCTATAAAATATTGCTTTTCACCTATGTCGTGTTTATTTTTCAATTTAAGAGAACTGTTGTTTCCATTTTTACTTTCTAGCTAGGTTGATGAAATTTCTTATACGAATTTGTAGTTCTGTATCAACTTTTCAGGGATTTCTGATAACCGAAAGTGGAACTTATTCTACTTTCTATTTTTCTAAAGCCTATAATTTGAGTACTGTTTCAGATAGATAAATGAAATCTCACATGTAAGTAAAAAATCTAATTCTCAGTCTTTTATTTTTATTAAATTTTGAGTAACATCCGTTGACCGGAAGTAGTAATTTACACATTTCCAATTTCTCAAAAAACTAATGTGAATTTATAAAGTACTAATAATATTCCCCACTATTATACACAGATTGTTTTGGTGGTCACTTGGTGCGCAATTCTTTTTTTTAGGAGATTCAATTCTATTTTAAAAAGTTTAAGTAATTAAAAATGGATTAAAAATCATGTCTATATCCTGAGTTGTCATCCCCTATATAAGTGCTATATAAGAATACTCGAGAAAGTTTAGGGGAGATCACTCCCGGTTTATTAAAGTTGTTTAATAATATAATATTGTAATGGGTCTTAGAATAATTTATAATAAGGCTAGCATTATCTGCATCAAGGGTAACACCCCCCCCCCCCTCAAATCATACAATTATGATGTTTCGTTGATTTATGGGATGCAATTTTTAAAATTCATTAAATTAGTGCCTTGAACAGTTATTGCAAAATGTTTTTGTAATCATTTCATTTTTAATGGACTGGTTTATTTTATTGAAGTGTGGTCGGATTTCATGTCAAGATTCTGTTATGTTGTTCAAGGTGTTAATGACATTTCAATTTATTGAGACAATATGTGTACTGCACACAAGCATTTTCTCCCCTGTATTAGTGTGGGTTTTTAAGTCCATCAGGTGTACTTTGAACATAACTCAAAAACAGTGAACACCAATTATTTCTGCTTTTGGTATTGTAAATCTTTAAATCAATTTTTAATTATTAAACACTTAATTTAATTATTTCAAAATAGATATTCCTTGGTGATCTGAACACATATACATGCACTTGGGTAGAAATTGTATTGTAAAATGTCATCTTTACAGCCTAAAAGAGGAGTCTAACTAAATAAAAGCTACTGCATCTCAGTCGCAAATAGAAGTTTCTCAATAATTGCTCACAAATAGGAAGAATATACAAAAAACCTTTATAGCAACAACCTGAAAATAAGAAAATAAAACTAATTTGTTTTCTTTCATAAAAGCTTTTGCCACTAAAATATAAAAGAACCCATGTGCAACAAATAGCTTATATGAAAGAAAACAAGTTTTATTTTCTTATTTTCAGTGCATTTAAAAGCTTGTTGCTATAAAGGTTTTTTTTTTATATTTATTTGTTGTTTTTTATTTTTAGTGATTCCTAATTTAAGAATTAGAACTAAAAATATTTGCTTTAAAACACCAACAGTAGCTCTTGATTTCTGAAGGATGATTATCTGCCCCTTGAAAGCAGCCATCCGTGACCGTATTTTACAGACAAAAGCAAGTTTTTAATGGAGGCAAGCGAGTTGACGAGATTCCTTCCATAATGTTGTTGTCATGGAATAAAAACGTGCCTTTTAGATTTAGACCGTAAAAAAAAATAAAAAATAAAAACTTAAGCCTAAAATTAATTTAGAAATTTTATATTCTTAGAATAAATGCTATAAAAGTTGCAAATCCAGAGAACTTGAAAATAATTTGTTGAGTTTAAGGCTACATTTCTATTTATTTTCATCAAGCCTAAGTTATAACCGGATGTTTCACTTTCGTAAAACAAATATTGATTGGCTGTACAGTAACTTAGTAATCGATAACTATTTGTTTACAAAACTTTGCAGATCAAGTTTTTAAATTACAATGCAAATTTAAAACCCCATGACCTAGTTTTCTATTTTTAGCTTACAATGTGTACAATAAAATCTATGGCAGCCTATCCAATAGCAGGATGCCATGTTTATGTCGCCATTACACGTGAAAACCAAATTGTTTTTGCTTTTTTTTAAATTTTTATTTAGTTACCGAAAATATTATAAACATCAAATACATCCAATCTTTAGTAAAGTCCGAAAAAAACCAGACAGGCAGGATTTTATAACCATATTAATTGTAAATACGCTGTGCATGATTTTTTAATGAATTTATACACCTCTCAAATACCTTTGAGACTTTTCTCGCTGGTGTCCATTATGATACCTCCTCTTAGTTTAAAATCTCTATTATCTGCCCTTAAAAGCCTTCACCAGATAGACCAGCTCTACAATTGTAAACATTCTAATGAACCAAAGCTCACCAGACTGTTGGTGTGATTGGGTAGTTAGTTATCTCCACTTCTGTTATTGAATATAGTTATCTATTGAATTATTTAATTGTGTAATCTTCCCTTAGTGTCGAAACTGGCTAATTAATTTTTAATGACTAATTAAACATCTAATCAAATTAAAAAATAGATTGACGTGTATTGTCATCTAATTGGAACATATCTGTAAAGTTTGAACAAAACGTGGCATTAGAAGTGGGTCAAAATAGAGATTTGTCACAAACCCACAAATAGACATTGCGAACTAAATTAAAGCTTGTAAAAAATACAAACCTTTGCTAGATCAAGTTTTCTAACTTTGCTGCTAACATTTTCAGCTAGAGTAGATGTGAAAGATATCATACCACAAAGCTGTTTTGAATCAGCTTCAAGCATCTGAAGACTTGGTCTGCAAAAAAAATCAGAAAAGTGAAGCATCTAGTTAGATAAAAAAAATTCAACTGCAATTTTGAGGGGGGGGGGGGGGGGGTGTTGTAGGTTGAGGTGTGATGTCATTTTAGGGGGGAGGGGGGTATCTGGCTTTTTGTGACGGTATGGGGGGGGGGGGGGGGGGTTGTAAAAATCATCAAAAAAAGTGTGACGACATTTATGGGTGACTCCATACTACTAAAACTCAACTTTGTTTACATGTTGAATATTTTTTTTTTGTTTGTCCGCTTGGCTACAGGAGAGAATCTGCACTATGTGTAGAGCTGTAAAATAGTAATTAGAGAACAATATTTGTTTTCAGACAGACTGTTAATCACAAATTTATTTAAAGACGTTAATTAATTTATTGATTTATTCATTGGTAGATTAACCACATTAATTATAAAAGTTTAAAACAATGACTTTACTTAGAGTGAATGGTGACATCACATGATTTATTTACTTTTTAAAACAACAATGGCTGTTCCATCAAAGATTGTGTTGCCCATTCAGAACTTTAACGCGTTATAAAGCTAATTTTCTGTCGGCTATAACTTAAACAATACATCCGTTTGCTATTTTTATTACGTTTGAACAATATTATCAATGATTTAACAGTTCTTTTTATTTTATTATACAATACGTAACATTTCTGTAGATCTACAGATCAGCTGTCAAAGGAAGAAAGAGTTATAAATCTAGATCTAGACTTAATGTAAATTCTACATCTAGAATCTAGAATCGATTTCAGGCCTTAATTATTTTATATAAATCTTTGTTTAGCTTCAATGATCATCTAATTCGAAAATGCATGGGATTTATCTATCTAGGTTCTAATCTAGAGTTACGGCAAAAACTATAATCTAGACTCAACGTAAATTCTACATCTAGATCTCGACTTAACCCTTTATTTACGGAATTAGGTTGAGAATGACATTTTTTCTTAAGCAATGTGTTATGATATTGCTTTTGGCACACTTAAAGCATATGTCGAAGGGAATTTTGTTTTATAAATTTTTAAGGGCCCAAACATATATTGGTACTTATAAGTACTGTTAGGAATGTAGGACATTTTTTCCAAAAATTAAAGAATTTACAAAACAGGAAAAAATGATACAACTTATTAACTAATAACATGGCAATCATTATAACAATCATTTTTTGTAATTTTCATGCATAAACCCAACACAAAACTACATTTTGAGTAGGATTTTTACTGGATTTTCTATCGGAACACATCTTAGACCTCAAACAAAGCAAAAGGGGCCGATAGATTGATTATAAAATAAATTGCTACGTTTTCATTTCTAAAGCAAAAATAGATTAGCTGGGCTAAACAAAAAATATTTGTAGTAAGTGAAAATATAGAACACACACAACACATGATCAATAAAAATATATATATTTATATTGCTAGTACACCATACTTAAAAGGTTAAACATTCCTAAACCAAAAATGAAAAACTCACATCATTTTATGCAAGGATGACATCTTATGCTCTAATAAACCTTGATGCTCCAAAAGTTCCTTTAATTCATCATCAATATAGACCTAAATTTAATAAAAAGAAAAGTAAGACTTGCACTGTACTTACAATACATGGAGCTTCAAAAGACTAAAATATATACACCAACATATGACTGAGGGAATTTAAGAAAGATGGGGGTGGGAGGAAGCAAAAGTCACTGAGTTGTTCACATTTAAATCTCAGTTTTAGAAAATAAGATCACACGTCTAAATATATAGGATTGGTAACACATTGATGAAAACCTCTTAAGATATTTTGTTGGACTTTATCCCCGTGGCAACGCACAGGGACGCGCACGCTAGTTTGTGATATAATTTTTCAAAAGACAATTTTTGAAAAATCGATTTGCAGCTGTTGCTGTTTTGGTTTCCTTATGTTATCTCCCATTTACAGTATTTTCTGTTATTTGCCCCATTAAAAAACAAAAAAGTTGATTTCTTAGCTTCTAATTAAGTTAGCAATATAAATTAAGTATCCTTGAAAGTTTGTAAAGCTTAACTTCAACACCAAGTAACTTACAGGTTTATTAGGTATAAATCTCACTCAATATAATCTTAGTCTACTACCTACAATATATTGAGGGAAAAGCAGGAGGGCGATCGCAGCGATGGTTTAACCGTGCGCTGTGTGGGTCGTGAAGGGCTTTCTGAGGGGTTGCGAACTTGTAGACTAAACCGTAGCAATGATTTAAAAATACTAAATATTTAGAATATCTGAAATTCAGCTTTACTAAATGAGCCACATTTTTATTAACCTTCTTAATACCACAAGGTTAACTAGATCTAGACAGGCCTATCTAGATCTATAAACTTGCCTAAATTAAAAATAATAATGCCCAATTTTATAAACTGCACTGAATTACAGTTTTAGTTATAGGCAACTATAATAGAAAGAAAACACTTTCATTAATGTCATTTAAGAATTTATCAAAGGATACACTTCACTAAACATTTTATAAATAAGAATACTGTGAAATGTCAATCTTTGAGTTTTAGCATATCTCAACACTTTTCATCAGAAACATTACAAGAACCAAAATTTTCTAAATTAATAATAACATTTTTACCATGTTATACACGGACACAAATCTAATGTTTATGGCAAATCGTTAAGTATCTTGATCATATTGTGCTGTTTTTGTAGGTTCTAACTCTATACATTACCTGTACAATATGTATACTAGCATTCTTATTACTAACACCAGAATCAATATGTAAAGTTTAATCTTTATTTTTATAGTAGCAACAAAGAAGTGCAATATATTAGCCTGTAGTTAATAATCATAGTCTAATTGTGCTGTACCATATTCAAGTACACTATTTATAGTTTTCCTCTAGCTCTGTTTATTTTACTTACATGTTTGTATTTTTTACATTCTCTAGTCCTATTAATAATTAAAGTTTCATGGTGGTATATGGAATAGCAACCTAGTTGTGCTATCCTCCTATGGCAGTCACTAAAGAACAGTGCCACACCCCTTAGTTTGACTTCATTATTTCTAGTTATTTCTAGTTATCTTTTTTCTAATTTTTATTTTATTTGTAGACTTCTATTGCCTATATCATTGAGTACAAATGTGCAAAGTTTTATCATTATATCACACGTCTCAAATTCAGCTTACAATGAAACATAACAAGTTAAACACATAACTTTGAAAATTCATATAAAAAAACTATTAGGCCTAGAATGATAAATTTGGTATTTTTATCAATGGGGTATATTATAGAATTAATCTGGGTAAAATCTTAGTTTAGCGTCGTAAATTCCAACATAGCTAGTAATGTGCGATGAAGGTAACAACTAATGAATATTTCTTTCATTTGGCCATATTTATGTCATAATTAACATATTATAACAGATAATTGGATAACAAATCACAATCCAAGACCAAACCAGTCATAAATATCCTGGAATAAAGTTATAAACTTTAAACTACCCCGTTTGAGACAACAATGAGTAAATACAAGCAGCGGCCATGTTTCAAAAACAATAATAGAGTAGTTTCCCTTGAAAAAATGTCTATTTGCATGTCTTTTGTGTTGATTTTGTGGTTTAACATGATTGTTTTGTATTGTTTTAATATATGCCTCGGGGTCGCCCATAAATGACGTCACACTCGTGGGGGGGATGGGGGTCCGTAATTTTGTGACGGTGTGTGATGAGGGGCAGGGGGGGTTCAGATGGTGTGACGTCACACTTTTGCATTATAAAAAAGCAATGTTAGAAAACAGATTTTAGACGCTTTTTTGCGTCTTAGAAAACTGTTTTAATACATTGTGATAACAATTGATTAAACTACTCTATTTGCACAGAGTTCAGACAAGATTTTGGAAAAATATAGCTGTTTAAAAAAAATTCAACTGCAATTTTGAGGGGGGGGGTGGGTTGTAGGCTGAGGTGTGACGTCATTTTAGGGGGGGGGGGGGGGGGGTCTGGCTTTTTTATGATGACGTGTGACGGAGGGGAGGGGGGGGGGGAGGTAAAAATCGTCCAAAAAAGCGTGAAGACATTTATGGATGACCCCCTGTATAGTATTTTTTTTTTTTCAATATAGTTGACATGAATGACTAATAGACCTTTTTCCAAGACCACAACAATTGTTGGGAGGTCGAACTTTTGAACACTTTATTTGCAGTTAGCAAATCAATATTAAATCGCTCATAAATGACGTCGCTCTTAAGATAGATATGACAGCGTGCATTATTACAGAACAAACATAGGAACATATTGTTTCAGATAGAAATTGTGATTTGTGGTGGGGAGAGGTTGAGTAGAACTCAGCGATGTGATTTTGGAGACGGGTCACGTTTTTTTTTCCTCATGAAAACAGGGGATGGTTGTGGGAGAAAGACCAGCTGTAGAAGTATTGACTCGTCATTCATTGGTGATCCATTTTCTCAGTGGGGACGATAGAACTATTAAGAAGGGTCAAGAAATGTAAAAAGCTTCATGAGTCGCATTTCTTGAACCCCACCTTTTTCATTCCCCCACTTAGCACATCGTCACCGAGTTAACGCTCGCACGTGACGTCATGTACCGGTTCCGCCGACCGTAAGGCTAATTTTATAGAAAAAAAAAACAAGCACTGCCTTTTTGACGCTTATGCGACATTTAATTTTATTACATAAGTTGGTGTTCATTAAACAGCCCCTAACACATCTATCACTCGTCCATTTAAACGTACGTAGTTATTTCTGCAAACTTGCTGTCTTGAGACTTTCGGCCCTTTAAAAATGTATTAAGCTCTCACTGTATTGAACCAGACTACCCATATTAAGCTCCAAAAGAAGCCGTCCGATTTTAAAGCTGCTCTGCGCTTATAAAAAGCACAATAAACGATAAGATGACACTTATATTAAAGTAAATTATAGTTCTGAATCTTGATACATTAAAATTGATATTCGGAAATTAAGAGCCAGATAGTCAACATGATATTTCAATTTAAGTCCAAGAAAATAAATGTCCTCAAACGATGGAACATTACTAAATTTTCGTGCAGTTTAGCGAAATTAAATTTAAGTATTTACGTCATCTTACAAAGCGCGATAGCCTACTGGTGCTCTAACACGGCCCATGCTAATGGCCGTATTCCTAACTCCCCGCATTAGATGCAGCTTTTTCGTCAGCAGGCATTTGGTGGCCAGCCTTTTTGACGGGGATAATGTGTTGAGGCCGTTTTGCCAAATGTCTTAAACTAGCAGGCTTGCAACATTTGTGATGATTCGTTTTAAGCAAGGTATACGTATACTAATGCTTATTTATCGTTATTTTGATTAAACAAAGCATTATAGAGGTTCTCCATTAACCACCTAGGTATTTTTCCCCGTTCACCTCCTTTCGCGAGACCGACACTTCATAAATTGCGGAGCCGCCTGAGTTGACGTCACAAATCTTCACTCACTCCCGTAGCAAATCATATGTGACATCATTTATGGACAACCCCATACCACTCACTTGGGTACTTGATGTTGACATTTTGACAACAAAGGATAACCAAAACGTGTCTGGCGGGTGGAGACTTGCGATCGACCATAATGACAACACGCACTTAAGGGGTGGAGTGGCTGATTGTTTTAGATGATGTTTTAGAGGGAAGGTGGTGGATAATACATTTTGTCCCTCTGTATATATAAATGATGACAAACATTTAATGTTGTCAAAATTATGGTTAGAAATCTTAGATAAGGCAGAGTGAAGCGTAATTTTTTTACATTATGACTTGTTGTGACATTGACAACAAAAATATGACGGAGGTTGGGGTTTAATTAAGGTAAAGAGAAGTAAAAAAAATGACATAAGTTACGATAGAATCACTAATTAATGAAAAGAAAAACCTGAAATGAAAATAGTGAACATTCAAACTATATAGTAATAGTAAGATGAAATAAACATTAGTAAAAAAAAACGAGATTTAATACATGGATACAAGTTGCATCTCACAATGCTTCTAGAATTAATAAAGTTGTTTGTTAGGAAATTCAGTTTTTAAAGAGCAGAATTTTAAAAAAAAATTCTTTGTAATACGGACTATACATATTTAAATACATTTTCATACAAATAGAAATGAAAGGGAAGCTATTCTAAATAACATTTTCTTAAGATGGCTGCTGTTTTCAATAGCAAATTTACTATCTCGAACAGGGTTGATAAAAATTAATTTCAGGATAGGCCTATTTAAATTGATTTAACCATAAATGGTGATCTATTATTCAATTATTTATAATATTTTATCAAAATATACGAAAATGTACCCATATTTAATGACATATTCATTAATTCACTCTCTCCTACATTACTGACATTACTAGATCTAGTTTTGGCCGAATTTACAACGCTAAACTAAGATTTTACCTTAATCTGTGTCCGTTTTATCATTCTATTATAATTAGGAAACATTTCTCAATATGCCTAGCCTAATATTAATAAATAGGGCCTAATAATTATTAATTAATAATTAGGCCTACTAAAATTTAAGGAGTCACCTTTTTTTCACATTACTAGATCTAGATCTAGATTCTAGTCTCGGCCGATTTTGCGTACCTAAAAAACGATAGATGTAAATATCTAGATTAGATCTAGATTCTAATCTAGATCTAAATCTAGAAAGTAGATAGATTCTAGATCTAGACCGTACGCCGTACAGTGTACACTGTACTGTACACTCAAGTACACTGTGTACAGTAGTTTGCATTGATCATCAACATCAATGATTGATGATGATTTAATATTTAATATTTAATAATGATTGTTGACTGAATCATCAGCCGTCAGCAACTTTTAACATACAAACGATTAATCATCATCAACACTATTTTAAAAAATGATAATGACCTCGTCGTTAATTATTTTTTTTAAAGTGATAATCATTTCATCATTATCCGTTAAACTTTCAACTTCAAGAAATGTCGAATTCGACGTAAACCCCACGTCTGCCATTTTATGGAAATCCGTCATTCCAAGGAAGTGATCTCCCCTAAACTTTTTAACATATTTTAAAAGCCGTCACGGACAGGCCTTGCATTGGCTTTCAGAAAAACTTATCTGACATGACTGGTGTGCTTATTAAAACTGATTGTAGTTTCATGACGGTTAAGTTGAACAGAAGCAGTGGCGTATTCAGGATCATCTCAAATGGGGGGGGAGCGTTCAAATTTTTTCCATTATATATATATATATATATATATATATATATATATATATATATATATATATATATATATATATATATATATATATATATATATATATATATATTTATATATATATATATATATGTGTGTGTGTGTGTGTTACGGTCAAAGTCCGAGGTGCGACCAAAGCCCGCATTGGCTGGCCGGATCTCTTGGTTAAAGTCCGAAGAGCTTAGCGCTGAGAGTGCATTTCATACATTGACCGGCCAATACGCGCACTGGCCGGGACCTGATGGCCAAAGTCCGAAAAGTTTAAAATTAACAAACTATTACATACATTGGCCAGCCAATGCACGCACTCGCCGGATGTCCTATCTAGTTGTGATCGCGTTTTCATTATTCTGGGTGCGGCGAGTAACGTATTGTTTGTATGGCATTCTATATGCAATGCGACATGGACCAAAAGGACAGTCAGACCAAGTGACAAACATACCAGATTGCTGCCAAAATAAATAATCCAAATCCTAATGAGAGAGAAAGTGTGAATCAAGTTATTTTTGAACTAGCCAAAGCCAAGGTTCAGTAGAACGTACCAACCAAGATGTTCAAAACATGATGCTGACATGGATGCAGACAAATGAATCAGCTCATTGGGCTGAGAGTCTCAAATTCATTCAATGTATGAAAAACCTTTCTTTTCATCAAGGAATCCAAAAATCGCCATACGAAGTCTTGTTTGGATGCAAAACAAAAGTGGGACTTAGCACTTTAAATCTACCAAGAGAGGCTCTCGATAATTTAGATACTGAGGAAGATCTTGAGAACATTGAACAAGAAATGGAGGTTGCCATAGATGCAACGATATCCTCAGCTAACACATATGCTGCCGTGGCGGAACGTCCAGACCAGTTGCGTGACAATAATATGATCAATAAATTATGTGTAGTTTGTGAAAAATATTGTAGTGCAGCCCATTCTTGTGGATCCTGTGGCAACGATGTCCATGCAATGTGCGGAATAGCCAATAAAGCAGACGAAGGTTACGGGGGGAAAATCACTTGCAGATTATGTCACAATAAAAAAAAATTCCCGGACAACAGATCAGTATCTCACACTAGCTTGCAAACTCAAGGTGCCAAGACGCAAAAATAATCAGATACAAATTTTAAACAAGCTGAAGTGGGAGATAATGCTCGCATCTGTATATCAGATGTGGTCAGAGGTCGCGGTGATCCCCGAAGCGTCATTGCAGTTGTCATGAGCGTCGAAGGCGCTTTCTACAAGCTAGGAGCAGAACATGGTGTTCTAAAACAACTATATGCTAGAAGTGAGTTTTCAATTCTTCACGAAAAACTGTTCTCATTGTCGTCCGTTGGCACTGAGGAAAAATCACTTTGAACCATCGCATCTTAACAATCACTGTCCGGCGGCCAAGGCTACACTCGCTGCAATTGCATAACCAAATACACAACAAACCGCTGCAAGTGTAAAAATAACAATTTTTCTAAATGCCATAAAAGTTCAACTTGTTGTGACAAGTGATAATATTGATTGAGACTATAGTACTATAAAATAGTTTGAATGTTTCTGTCATTTACTTTAATTAATAATCAATAAAGACTTAATTTCGTGACCCTTACGGTTTAAAAAAAAAACCTAAATCTGCTCATGATCTTCTAATTCGGACTTGGCCGGTCCACCATGGCCAGTCCACGGACTGGCGGGCCAAAGGCCGAAATCAAGAGCCATTTCAGCCTTTGGCCGGTCCATCCTGGCCAGTCCGCGGATAGGCCGGCTAAAGGCCGAAATCAAGTTAAGTTTCGGACTTTGACCGGACAATGGGAGACGATGTTGGCCAATACGTGCTTTGGCCGACTTCGGGCTTTGACCGTAACACACACACATATATAATATACACACACACATATATATATATATATATATATATATATATATATATATATATATATATATATATATATATATATATATATATAGCGTACCCGCCCCCCGCGCGTTGCCGCGGGGATAGAAGAAAGTCTGACGAAATATATTAGAAGGATATCACCAATGCATAACCAATCATATGTTCTTAGACGCGTGTCCTTCTTTTCTAAAACTGTGTTATTTAACAATGCCTGCGCTTGGATAATAATTATCGGGACACGGGTTTTCTTTTTCGCAGAAACATTCTCGGGAGTATTCTCATCTCATGGCACTCCGATGAACCGCATCCGAGTTTTATTTTTTATATACCGTGTATAGAGAAAAAAATCGCCCCCATGGGGTCGCCGCCCTTGCAATATTGAACAATATTTTTTTTTTTTGCAGAACCCTACCATTGAGTGATCTAATCCTCTCCGCAAAGTTTCATGGTACACGGATGAACGGTGTGAAACCGAAATACTTTTATTTTATAAACCGTATATAGAGAAAAATCGCAGCGTCCCGTGGCGCCGCCCTTGCGAAATTAAAAAAGGATTTTTTTTTTTACAGAACCCTTCCCTGAATTGTTCTAATTAACTCCCCAAAGTTTGATGGCGATCAGATAAATAGTGTCAAACTAAAATCGACTTTTATTTTTATATACCGTATATTGAGAAAAATCCCACCATTCCGTGGCGCCATCCTTGCGAAATTAAAAAAAAATTTTTTTTTATAGAAACATTCCCTGGAGTGTCCCAATCAACTCCCCCAAAGTCTCATGGTTATCGGATAACGGTGTCACACCAACATCGACTTTTAATTTTATATACCGTATATAGAGAAAAATCGCACCCTCCCGTGGCGCCGCCCTTGCGAAATTAAAAATAATTTCTTAAAGAACCCTTCCCTAGAGTTTTATAATGAATTCCCCAAAGTTTCATGCCTATCGGATGAACGGTGTCACTGCAATTCACTTTTATTATTTTTAAATATACCGTATATAGAGAAAAATCGGACCCTCCCGTGGCGCCTCCCTTGCGAAATTAATTTTTTTTTTTACAGAACCCTTCCCTAGAGTGGTATAATGAACTCCCCAAAGTCTCATTGCTATCGGATGAACGATGCCAAACCAAAATCGACTTTTATTTTATATACCGTATAAAGAAAAAAACAAATCGCGCCCTATCGGGGCGCCACCTCTGCGAATTTGAAATATTTTTTTTCGCAGAAACCTCCCCAGGAATATTCTCAACAACTTCCCAAAGTTTCACGGCGATGTGATGAGAGGTGTAGTAATGCATAAAGGACATACACACATACATTGCTTTTTATATATACAGATATATATATATATATATATATATATATATATATATATATATATATATATATATATATATATATATATATATATATATATATATATATATATATATATATATATATATATATATATATATATATATACGAGAAAAATGGCCCGTTGAGGGAGGATACAACGGGCGCTAGGTTGATAGTGCTGTCTATTTTCTCGGTACTTTAATTTATACAAAATATAGTCATAGGCATATCCCTAAAACATGCACCTAATCTCAATGACAAAAGTCGCATTAAGAGTTTCTTTCAGGCAACTCTACTTGGGAGGAGGGGGCTTCGCCCCCCTCCCCCCCCCCCCCCCCACACTCCAAAACATGTCTACCGTCCCATTCAACGAAATATAATTATATACTTTTTCCAGTGTCCGCCCCCTCCCAGAAAATTCTACCCCCGCCCCCGAAAATTTCAAGTACCCCCACCCCTCTCCGGGGAGGAAAAAGTCTGAAAGAAACACTGGTCGCATTTGTAGATCATACAAACTAAAGGAGGAATCTGGGCGGGGCTTCGCCCCTACCGGAAGAGATGCTTGAAAAAAAACTGCACGCTAAACGCTTTTTAGATTAGAAAAAGTTCCCCCCTCCGGGGAGGAAAAAGTCTGAAAGAAACACTGGTGTCGCGCTTAGCCACTACCCGAAGAATTGCATTAAAGAAATTGCAAGAAAACCACTTTTTAGATTAGACACATTAATTAGGCGGTAATTTTATTATAGAGTATCGATGAAGAAATTTCTTTTGAGTTGGGGAGGGGGGGGGGGGGCTCAGACGTTCTTACGCGGGGGTGGGGCTTCGCCCCTACCCGAAGAACTGTATGAAAGAAACTCTTCACGCAAACAACTTAGATTAGACAAAATGTCCTTTTTATTCAATGTTTACTCGAGAATCAATGACGTCATATTACTTTGTGCACTCTCCGGCATGAGATTATTTTCTACTCACACACACACCCCCCAAAACATGTCTACCGTCCCTTTCAACGAAATATAATTATATCCTTTTTCCAGTGTCCGCCCCCTCCCAGAAAATTCTACCCCCGCCCCCGAAAATTTCAAGTACCTCCACCCCTCTCCGGGGAGGAAAAAGTCTGATAGAAACACTGGTCGCATATGTAGATCATACAAACTAAAGGAAGTAACTGGGCGGGGCTTCGCCCCTACTGGAAGAGATGCATGAAAAGAGCTGTGCACGCTAAACACATTTTAGATTAGAAAAAGTTCCTCACTCCGGGGAGAAAAAGTCTGAAAGAAACACTGGTGTCGCGCTTAGCCACTACCCGGAGAATTGAATGAAAGAAACTCTGCAAGCAAACTACTTTTTAGATTAGACACATGAATTAGGCTGTAATTTTATTATAGAGTATCGATGACGACATTTCTTTTGAGTTGGGGGGGGGGGGGTTCGGCTAAGACGTTCTTACGAGGGGGATGGGCTTCGCCCTACCCAAAGAATTGTATGAAAGAAACTCTTCACGCAAACCACTTAAGATTAGACAAAATTGGCTTTATAATTCAATATTTACTCGAGAATCAATGACGTTATATT